AAGTTATTACAATTTTTTCTTCGCTAGGAATGCCTTAAGGGGATGAAGTAAGTGATAATCAGAGAGGGCAATGTCAGGGGAATAGGGGGGTGGGGAACCGCGTCCCAGATCAGCTCTTCCAATTTTGCACGGGTCTCTTTAGCTATGTGGGGCCTGGCGTCATCGTGGAGTAGGTGGACAGAAGTTCGTCTCGGTCGTTTTTCTTGAACAGCGTGCTAGTTTCTGGAATTGACTGGTGTAAATGCTGCCGGTAGCGGTATTGTCCTTGAGGTAGCATCTCATAATACAAAATTCCACTCGAATCTCAGGGGTAGCAAAAAAGACAGTCTTTGGGGCGAAGGTAAGATTTTGTTCGTGTCGGTGGGTCTTCTCCATGAAGCGAGCCACACTCAACTTTGCTTGTTATAATCGTAGAGGACCCAACTCTCATCTCTCGTAATCACGCCTTTCAAAAACTCCTTTCGGTGCGGGACAAAGAAGGAGAAACTGACAAATGGGTACCCGCCTGAACCGCGTGCCATCGGTCAAGACATGAGGAATCCATCGAGTCAGCACTTTCCTGTGGCGAGGTCGTGAAGGGGACCGAGGACTGGGTGGGTGCACCAGAGTCCTTATCACAATGCTGCGGGTGCTAACCTCCGGAATCCTCTTCGACAACGCCGAGAACGTGCGAACCCCAATGAATTCACCCCACTAAGTTCGGGGCTTCCCCACATTTGACTTGCTTTCGAAGCCGTGCTCCTCCTCGTGAAGCTTGCGAACCAGAGTTTGGCACTGGTGATGGAAGTGGTGTCCCTTCCCAATGCGATGCTGATGATGTTGACGGTTTCCACTGCTTCCTGTGCCGCAGCGCCATTCATTGAAGATGATCGCTCGAAAGTGCTCTTGTGGAATCGACATCATGATTAAAGTTAAAGAAGGCAACCCGGCTATATATACCTACTGCGGAGAAGTATGATCGACAGCGATAATATCACGTAGCAGGTATTTCTAGGTAAATTAACCAGTAAGCGAAAGTTCTGGAGCTTTCGAGAAATCGGCTCAGGACTTTCTTACCATCCCAAGTAATTCTGAACCTGTAACCGGTGCGCCGTTGATCAGACTGTGTCTTGATTTCAACTCCAGCGTGTGTGCATCCTGCGAAGGGATATTCAGGACGGTCCACACTGTTTTACTTTCTATCGATTTATTGATTGGTGCCTTAGGGTAGTCTTCAATTTCTTTACCTATGGACATGTCTTTACAGGAAAGCGCAGACCTTGATCCAGTAGTTACATTTCTTAAGGCCATCTGGCCGGCTACGCTGTCATCAAGTGTATCTACAAGCAATTGCCATTGATCAGTCGCATTGAGTTCGGCACCGGCCAACCCAGCGGGGAGCTTAGAATTCTTGTCTTCGAAGATGAGTTCGAATTAAGTGACGAAAAGGAAAGTCACCCGTTCGCTACAAAAACGGGCCATATCCGCTAGGACAGAATGCAACTTGCGAGCCAATTGGTGGATGAGCATTTATCATAATTCTTGCACTTTATCTTCTGATTCAAGTTCAGTTTTTGCACACGTCTGAAACATTTTCTCAGAAGGAATATATAGGGCATGAACGCTTGGTGCATCGCTCACCAGTACAGTTGTAGTACATATTCATCATGAGCAGGTCGTAGAATGAGATGAATTTGGATCCCAAAGTCTCCGTGTAGTTTACGTCTTTGGGTACAATAGCGAGTTTTCCCTTCTTTGCGGCTTTTTCGGTAGTAAAGCTGTAGATATTTTGTTCTTCAGTTTTGAGACATCGACATACATACATGACATACCTTGTGGCTGCGTAATGCATCACGCTACCGTAGTCATATGTTAAATTGTAGTTGTTATTAATTCTTTTAGATCTTTTCACAAACTGGCGAAGTTGGCTAGGCTGAATCCAATCGCAGTATTATAGCAATTCTTTTATAGCGATTACAAATCTTACCTGGATGTTTCTTTTGAGTACTGTGATAAATTCATCGCGGTCATGTCTCGAGTGCGTATGCCAGAATCCTAGGGCATGACCAATCTCGTGAACCGCCATTCCAACCTGAAGGAAAGAAAAACTTCATTAGCAATTCATTGTACGAAAAACTATGGTGTTCCTTTCCAGTTACGGTTTAGCACACCCTGGCTTTGTACGAAGTGGGAAATAACTTCAAACACTACAGTGTCACAGTCTTTGCCCAGTGAAAGTAACTGCCATCCTTCTTGTCTGCCAACTTCTGCCCAACATCCGTGTTCCTTGAACACAAGAAGAAGGTCCTCAGCTTAAACGATAAAAAATATTCACTACATCTTTGAATCCTTCCAATTTTTACCTTCTTCATTTGGATCTTCTGTGATGTTAATGCATGTGTCTTTCATCCACAACTCCGCTGCTTTCCTGAAGCAATTTTTGCCTTTCATCTGAACATATTGAGGAATTTCATTCACTAATCTCACATGTGGACAAGAGAGGATGACTAACTCAAGCTGCCGTCAAGTGAAGTAGAAGACGCCTTTTGACCATCTCCTGCCAGGGTAAGTTTTGTCGTTGTAAGCTTGCCGCTTGGAACGGCTCTCGCCAATATCCGCAACAACTTCCTCCTGTTGTTCCCTAATAGATTTAAGTTTCACCAGCTAACAAGGGAAAGGATGGTAGGTCGAAGTGGCCGTATAAAATGAGATGTATACCACCTGATGCGTCTCCAGACGCTGATTCCAAATCTGCCTTCCAAATCTGCTAAACGACTCTCCGAACGGAGTTATGAAGCGTAATAGCTCAGTGGTGATGGTCCGGGGTGGCAGGTAAAAGCTCGTAGGATCGGTTCCTT